TATCAAATAAAAAGAAGGTAGAAAAATTAAAAAAAGTTCATCCATGTAAGATGAAGACAGCATGATGTGGTCGGATATCTTCAGAAAAGGTTTTTCCCCTGTTTTTCTCTTGGGAAGAACATGAAAAAGTTTGTTATACCACCACAAGTACGTAACTGTTGCAATGAACATATTACTAAAATAGGGTGTTTACGATTCGGGCTGGGTATCTTTCGTAGCCTGCCAGTATGATACCCATCTCAATACACATGCCACGATACAATACTTATACTACATAAAATGTTGTAAATGGAAACAAATCTAATTTTGTAATTCATACTTTAGAACAGTCCTATTAATGATCTGATACTGTCATTATATTAATAATGACAGTATGTTGTTTTGTAGTGCATTTCTGGACACTCAACGACACTTCACAGTGTTATTCATTCACTCCCTAGGGTCCCCTGCCCAGGGTTCACTGACGGAAGCGATACAACCAGTATGTTTCAGTGGCTACCATCATTATTAATGCAAACACAAACACTCATAGGCAATGTGCATGTTGTTCCCGCAGGTCTCCCATCACAGCACTAACCCTTAGCTTCAGAGGCCTGGCAGGATCAGGATCACATGCAGGTGGCACCACAACTTTTTTAAAAACCTCTGAAATATAAATGAGAATAAATAACTCTATAGAAATGTGAGAATATCTCATTATATAACTTGGCTAATGCTTTCATTGTCAAACCACAAAATATAAATACACCCAACCCTCGCCTACTCTGCAATCTGCTTGGGTATAAGTCGGCGCACCCAAGGTCTACTCTGATTGGTGCATCCTCTGTCTCTGTGCAGTGATGGTAGACAAGGTAAACCAAGAGCCCCCGGAGACAGCGTTCAAATATTACCACCCCAGACAATATTTCCAGATCGACTCGTGCCAAAAAGCCACCCGTTTGAAACATGACCCGGCCAGATGCTATGCCACCACGCCTCCGTGCTGCAAAACAAAAAAAAATCTCCAACGTCTGCCAAGTTTTCTGCGTTAACCAAATGAATTGCATGTGCAGAAGGGGTGTTTGGTAAGTGTTTGTCGGTCACTGTTCAGCATATCTGCCATGTGTAAGGCCACGGAGCTAATGCTGTAATCAATCCTCGCCTGTGAGAGCACTCTTCCTCTTTGTGGCTAGTGACAGGCAGCAGTCCAGGCTTTCTAAATGGCTCCTGCTGAACCCTGACCTAATATAAGCCATACACCGTAGTGGCTCAAATGTTAATGTTGCATCTGTGTGTTTCAAATGCAGGTGACATACAAGAATAACACAACATTAGCTTCACTGGAGACTTTCAAATTTAGCCGTTTGTATATCTTGGCTTTTGATACGAATAGAGTTGATCTGTTTTACAAGACCCCATGGACAGGTGAAAGTTAATTTTTTTTCTGTAATTGTACTTCAAATGTCAAATGGTTAAATTATTTAAACATTTTTTTACAGGCCAAGTGACAAATGCACAGCCAATGTTTGTTATATTTGTGATGGTTATGGCTTACAGCTCATTTTGATTCTATTATATTCTAATTCTCTGAGATGTTATAATATGGGGATTTACAAGCTGTGAGCCAATTCTCAACATTATAATGTAATGTCAAAAGTTTCACATGGTAAGTTGAATTACAGAAGTAAATGGACTTTTGACCATACGCTAATTTTACAAGTTTCCTCTTTATTTTGTGCTGTTTTTTTTTCTTTAGCCTTTTTTTCTCTTTCTTTCTCTCCCTCTTTCTCTCTCTCTCTCTCTCTCCTTTTGTAGAGTAATAACTTCTTGTAGATGTGCGTTATTTTGACAATAAAGCCATTTTTTAGGTTTTAGGTTTTCTATGTTTTTTGTCAATAAATACACACTTTGAGGTACACAAAGCAAGACAAAAGAACAAGGTAAGTAAACAAATATCCATGTTAGTTGTGAAATGACTTATAATACAAAAAAGAAAAAGAAAAGAGAAAAAAAATCAAACCCGAAAGAATATTATTTTATTACCTGGATCTGTGGTGTGCATTGGTTAACCTCCGATTCATGAGAAGAGAATCTTTTCGAGGTGAATGCTGGAATCTGTGAGTGTGTAGCTGATGAATTAGGGTAATCCTCAGGGAGACCAAAAATTGATCACTAAAAAAATCCAGTGTTACTTGAGACATAGTAACCTAAATGTCATGTCCTGACGGCTAGAAATATGTACGAGATTATAGGGTGAACCACCACACCATCACATACTGTATGTCCGGCAACGACATTTTAATGTGGGAAATACATCATCAGAATCTTTTGTATTGTCAGTGTCAGTGAACAGTATGTGTTTGTCTTATGGTGCATAAAAACTATGAATAAAATAATTGAAAGAAAGCTGTGATAATAATAGTAAGTAAGTAATATTTATTTATATACCACCTTTCACAGACCAGAGTCACAAAGCTGTTTACAATTTATAGTCATGTGTCTCTCACTCCACACAGAGATGGGAGCGGGGCCTGTACAGGAGGCGCATGCCAGAACTATTGTACATGCTTTTAGTGGTAGGGGAAACCGGAACACCCGGAGGAAACCTATGCAGACACAGGGAGAACATGCAAACTCAACTCAGAAAGGCCCTGTTCCGACCTTCTTGCTGAGAGGCCAGAGTGCTATTTGAGTGGGCTCACTACTCCACAAACTAGACTCCTGTCTGGTTTATTTACTGCCAGATTTCAGCTCGATTTTGCTCTTGACCAGTTTGAGTAACATTGGCTATGTGTCTGTGGTGTAAGATCAGAGACGAAATCTCAGCTGCCATAGTGACTAAACTGAAACTATAGCGTGGATTTGACTTCAAAACACTTTCAATACATTGATGTATTAGAACAAAGATCAGAAATAACAGATCATTTATGATGTGGCTCAGTCGATAAAGCATTGGCCACGGATTCCCTTTACTCGACTGCAGGCTGTTCAGGACCCTCCTCCAACACCCAATCTGTAGTAGGCAAGGCAAGGCAAGTTTATTTATATAGCACAATTCATACACAAGGCAATTCAAAGTGCTGAACAAAATAAGAAAGCATTAAAATCATAAATAATCACAGAACATTAAAAAGAAAGATAAAAATATAAAATCCCTCAGTTGTATGCACATTAAACATTGTCAGAGAGGAGGCCTGTCTCACACTTCCAGGAAGACTGTTCCAGATTTTAGCAGCATGAATCTGAAAAGCAGCCTCCCCATGTTTAGTTCTGACTCTGGGCATTAATTACTGGGCAGTAATTAATGTGTGAATCTTTATTCCTAAAAACACTGTCACTAATCATTAAGAGTGGTAGAGGAAATGTAAACAGACATGGGGTGTCCAAGAGCCCAACTGCAAAGGGAAAAGAAACTGTTGTGGTGAGATCTGGGTGGATCATAGCCTCCAGCCTGAGGGGAGTGACGCGAACAGTCTGTGACCAGGGTGAGAAGGGTCATCTGTGGTGGTCCTCGTTCTAAGCCAGTCACCCCTCCAGCAGCACAAGGCAGTCTGCTTTGTCTCTGGCGGTGGCCTCAGTGCACCACAATGCTCAGAAGGCTTTTTCCTTGGTGAAATGATGAACTTTGCAATTGCATGCCTGCAAAAATAAAATACATTTTCCTCCTCCCTCTGGTGGTAGTGTAGGGATAGGGCAGGCCGATAGCATTATTTTCCCTTGATACTTGTTTACAGAATGTTATTATTATTATTTTCTAAAACATGAATAACAATGTATAAAGTTTAATTGTAATTTCTAATGGTAAAATTTAAAATACATGACATTTATTCTTTAATGATGGCCATATAGAAGTGCACCATCATCTAGTTAAAACTTATTTTTCCTCAGGGGCTGGACTATGGGCCTTTTTCTAAGTCTAAGAGATAAAAGAGATATCATGCCCACAATAAATCTGTGTTGCATCATACAGTTTCACTTAAATGATTAGATATGTTCTCAAACATGTTTAAATCCATTTGTGCCAAAACAAACCAATCGGCCACAAGCTCCTGACCACAAAAACGTTGTTAAACTAGAACCTTGTCATATTATCAAACTACATTTATGGATTCTGCATACTTGCCGATGGCGACGGGGTCAAATACTTTGCTGTGATTAGCTGTGCTTCTAAATTCAGAAAAACATTCAGATTAAGTTCTACTTCTTTTGTTTATTCTTACTCTCTATATGAACTATTTCTTATTTTTTGGTGTTTAAAGCGTAAAGTGTCTCAAATTTTGTCAAATATATAATATTGTTCACCAGTTTTCAACAAAAAAAATCTACTTTTTGAAATAAAATCTGTTTCATCCGCAAAAAGTTACCCAAAACACTAGTTTTATCACTAGTTTTGTATGAATTTCTAGCCTCTGTCACATCCTTAGAAAAGTGAAAAAGAGATGACTAACCTTAATCAGCTCAGCCCATAGAGTCAAATAGTGACTCACTCTGCTCTTTCATGCAAGTGTTCAAAAGATGTTTCCTGATGAAATAGAGGCAGCAGTGTGGTCTGATTTGTCCATATCATTATAATGAGACTTTTTTGTTCGGACAAAGATAAATTATGTACCACAGCCTAAAGTACAGAAGATTGTAATACTTTTTCTTATGATTTCAAGACTTTTATTTTTCTGTAGAAAAAATGCACATCAAAAAAACTCAAAGCGCTTCACATGAAAGAATCAATCACACATCACATGTACGTAGATACTTAGGAGGTTCTTGCTCAATGACAAAAGCTCAAAGAAAACTTACTTTGCACACAAGTTGCAGGTGCCAATTATTCATTATTCAGATGTTTTCTTTCAGACCTTTTTTACTTTTAGTTTAGAGTAGTAGATTTTTGACTAATAAGACTATAGCATAAAAGTAAGGGCAGGTTACAGTTCAGGTCCCAGGCATGGATGTATGATGGTCCCAGGACACTCTCCAAAGGGCTTTTCCTCCTAACGGGGAAACCCTTGCGTGCAGCCAGTGAATGAATGGTGTGTTGGGGAGCCATGTTTGTGTTGCCACTCATCATCATGTTGTTGGTAATCATGTCCTTCACGCTGCAGCCCCATCAGCCCATCGGCCCATCAGCCTCTCCCCGGCCGCGCTGTTCCCAGATGGATTCACGTGCGCCCCGCTCAGACATGCTGTCGCCAGCCCCGTGACGTCACCTGCGCCACAGCCTCCTCCGCCTGCCGCTGTTTCCTTCCGCCATGTCTTCTGGACAATCTAGTCCCTCACTGCTGCACCGCGCAGCTTCACGCGAGACCAGAGGTGGAAAATCAGCGAGTCAAGTACTGTTCTTAAGTATTTATTTTACGGGTACCACGACTTTACTTTAAGACTTGTTTTTCTGACAACTTTTTACTTTTACTCCTTACTTTAAAACCCAAATATCTGAACTTTCTACTCTTTACTCAGTACTCTAATAGTGCACACTCAGTTACTCTGCAGATTTTCTAAACATTTCTAATTTCATACATTCATTGTGGATAGCCATGCTTCTAAGTTTAAAAAAATTGTTTGCGGTAAGCCATGCTTCTAAGTTCATAAATGCATTATGGTTAACCATGCTTCATAAGCTTGGAATTGTAATTGTGGTTAGCCAATCTTCTAAGTTCATAAATGCATTGTGGGGAGCCATGCTTCTAAAATTCGTACATTCATTACGGTTTGCAATGCTTCTAAGAAAAAAAAAAACATTGTGGGGACCCTGCTTTCAAGTTCAGAAATTAATTGTGGTTTGCCATGCTTCTAAGTTCAGATATTCCATGTGGTTATTAGATAAGCACAATGTCGAGATAACAACACAAAACACAAAGGTATAAAGTATTGTCCATTAATCACATAAATATGTTACTTTCTGTCTGTGTAGTGCACTCCTTTACTTTCACCAACACTTGTTTATAGATTATGATCTTTACTTTGATTTCAGCAAAGACACAGAGCACTTCCTGATCTTGTATCTCAGGACTATTTTCATGCAAACGTGTCGACCCCACAGCACTATGGTCTGAACCACTGTCCCCCTGGAGGACACTGGGAAGTATTCTAATGCTGATCCTCCAGAGGCATGTGTGGACACGCTGGGAGCTTGTACTTCTCTTCAGGCACTTCTGTTCTCTCAGAAACATAAATAGGTCTTATCATTTCACTATCAAAGCAGAAAAGGAACTAAGAGCACTCTGCAGTTCACAAGTTCAAGGGGGCTAGAAGATAAGCAGCGATGTTCAAACCAGATAGACTTGTTTGGGTAAAGTTGTGACTTAAAAGTATGCTTAAAAGAAAAGTCTGCATCCTTATTGTCCAACGTTTACACTTTTGAAGCAAGGGTATATACAGTCTATGGTTAAAACACAGGCAATCTAAGTAGGATGCTCTAAGGCTCAGGTACCTAACTTTTTTCAAGTTGTTTTGCAAGAAAGAGTTTTGCAAAAGTTAAATTTTATGAACCTCCACAGTGCTTCTACTTGTAAGAAAGACAAAGTTCTTCACAGAATCAGAATCATTTTTATTGCCACGTAAGTAGCAAGAAGCAAGAAGGTCCTGGGTTTGAGTCCACCTCCAGACAGGGCCTTTCTGTGTGGAGTTTGCATGTTCTCCCCATGCCTGCGTAGGTTTCCTCAAGGTGATTCGGTTTTTCCTACCTCTAAAAACATGTACAAGGTAAAAAAAATATATCAGACTCAGTTTGTGAGTGTGATTGTGGCACATTAGATACACATCACCCCAAAGTTACAATCCACTGTCCCAACGAAAAAGACAGTCTACAACAAGAAAAGAGCACTATTTGACGCTGAGAGCTGATTGGCTGAGTGAGGGTTGTTCTCTCTTCACTTTTCTGTGTGAAAAAGCTGATCTAAAGATGTGACAGAGGCCAAAAAATGCCTGCATGGGAAAACTAGTGACAGAAGCAAAGTGCTTTAGCCAGAAACTAGGTACATGGAATTGAATACTTAGTTTAATGTAAGTAAGTAATCTTTATTTATATAAAGATATATATCTTTCGTTTAATGTGTTATGGTTTGAACGATAGCTACCCCAGCTTTCTATCCATTGACATTTCCCCACTGTGGGACGAATAACGGTTTTATAAATCTTATTTTATCTTATCAATACTCAGATGTGGTTAGGCTTATAGATTGAATTGACTGATACTTTCTAATGGGGCATGCAGCTCAATTCATTTCCCTAGATCCCTCCAAACCAACACCAGACACTTGCGAATGGGCGACACAAACGCATTGTTGCGGAGTTACATAATAATGATGGGAGAAGTGTAAAAAGTAGGTCTTGTTGTTGTCAGAGTTGCATCCCGCGGCTTGATACTGGCTCTGGCGGAGTGTGAAGCGGTCCGCGACTCAGTGACGCCAGGCAGAGCGCACAGGACAACGCACAGCAACAGCGGCGCTCAAAAGGTACACGCAACTTTTAACTCGCTTTTTTACACTCAACTTTGTGCATGTCTTGTCTTATTGTTATTCCCACGCTTGCCTTGGGACTGATCAAAGAACGCGTACTCAGCGTGCTTCACTTTCTTTGCCTCAAACTTTTTCTTTCCCTTCCTTACTCGCACGGATGTAATGCTGTTATTGACTTTTCCTCACGAACTTGTGCACACCTATTTTCCGCATTCACTCTTCTCCTCACTGTAATCTAACTTGGATTTGATTTAATTCCCAATTCAACCCTTATTGTTGCGATCTCTGTCTGAAGCAGCCTGCGAGGGGGAAAAAAGTGGGCGTCAGAACCGTGCGTAATTGTGCGTAAAAGTAGAGTTTTGGAGGGAATGAATTATATTTCTACTGGTTGTGTAAGCTGTTGGGTGTGCATTCAAAAGTGGCCTTCTGGTTTAGAAGAATATTAGTCTTTCTTGTCAATCTGTAGAAACCACATGTGCATAAGTTGTAGCTGCAGTGATTACACATGGCTCTAGTCTATCACAACCCAATGAGCAGAATGCATTCATTGCTTAATTGGCTTGTCATTTCTCCACTGCAAGAAGTGTGTGTGTCTGTAACTGTATGTGTGTATATCTGTGTGTGTCTGTATTTGTGTGTGTCTGTATTTGTGTCTGTCTGTATTTGTGTCTGTGTTTGTTTGTATGTATGTGTCTGTCTGTATGTGTGTATGCGTCTGTCTGTGTGTGTCTGTATGTATGTATACTATGTATGTATGTATGTATGTACAGTATACATTTATCAGTCATGATTGAGGGAGAGATGTACAGCAGCAGCACAGGATGGATCTCCTGTTCTTATTGAAGATCAGATTACCCAAAGGAGAGGAATTTGTCCTTGTCAGTGATTTCCTTGAGTGTTTAAGCAGTATTTAAACCTGTCCAATAGTGCGGCGCTTATTCCTTGAACCATTCAATGGCTATGTACTGTTACTGTACATGTAGAAGCTATAGTATCTGTCTACGAGTGCGAGACAAAAAAGTGCTGTGAGTAAATATAGGTTAGTGGCATTCCTGCATCCACTGTATCCAGTCACAACAGTAGTGACCAAAGTGGTGTGTCTGTGTGCGTCCCGGGACAACATATGTCGGGGGTGAGGTGTCCACCCTAACACAACACTAGCCCTAAAGCTGAGTGCCAGGCATGGTTAAGATAGCTGCAGAAAGCCCATGTGTTCTCCGGTTCTGTCTACAGAGCACATGCACAGGGCACATCTGAGGAGCGGGGTGTTCGGGTGCAGTGTTTTGTCTGAAGACTTTCTGCAGATGGATTTTCTCTGCAGTCATCACCAGATTATGAGAACTGTAATATTATGCGAGCTTGTCAGTGTGGTGGTAAGTGAAGGAATCCATCGACAACATGTATCGAAATGATTATAGATTTCCAATAATTACAGAAAACTAGGGCTTGTCAAGTTATTTGATTTATTGCAACTAATTGATGTAAAAAATGTTATTGTGGTATTATTTTTGTTTACATATTTTTCTTGTTACATACAACATAGAATGGCACCCCCATACTTTTTCTCTTGCGTTTTTAAATAAAAAGCGATCCGTAAAGTAATTAATATCAAAACACAAAAAACAGATACAAAAACTGGTAAAAGGAAATAAAACACCACAAACAATAAACAATAATAATTTCTATAATATATACAGAGATTCATTGTTTTCTGAAGCTTTCATAGACTTCAACATTCTGAGAAGAGACTTTGGATAATTCCATAATGATTGCAGTTTAAACGAGCAACTTGATGTGTAAAAAGTCAAGTCTAATGAAGGTAATGCAGCCCTATAGTAAATCCCCTAATCTTTTCTTTCTTTTGCACAATCTTGAGTGTTTCTATCCATGCCAGATGTGACATGTAAATTTCTCCTGTGTGAGATCAATAAAGTCCATCTTATCTTATGTATGTAAGAAAAAATGATGACTGAAAGTCTGATTGTGGCATGTTTTTGAGTCTGTATGGTTAAATGATAAATATTTGAAAACGAATTAAGTCGAGAGTGGTTGGTCGAGATTCATGGATTCACCTTTTAAACCTAGGTTGGGCACAGTGGTTAGGGAGAAATTACATATTCAGCATTTTTAGTCATAGTAAACATGTTCTAATGCACACTGTATCATCATGTGTGATGGAGGCATGGACGCGTGTTCACTATATTTTCACTATACACACACGAGTTTAAGCTAGCGGTGTGTAGAGTTCTCCTCCCATGAGTGCAGATCGGCAACGTCTGTGTCCCGAGACCCTCCAGAGACATCATATAACAAGAGTATCTGCTCACGGAGCTGCACCATGGATGTATTATATTATTAACCAGAACTTCTGTATCAGCGAACACTTTAGCAGCACTTGTTTACAGTGACAGCAGAATGTTAACTCATGGTGAAGACATATGTTCACAAGCACTGTGTCCCGCATTTCCCCTGGTTTAATCCTGGTTTAGCTCATGTTTTGGTTCGTTTTGTGTATCTATGTTTTCCTGTTTTGCCGGCTTGTGTCCCTGTGACCACTTTGCTGCTTTCTGATTGGTTGCCGCACGTGCATGGAGCAAAGATGTTCAGTGAATCTCCTCTCCGCCGTTTCATGCATCGAGCTGCCGTACCACCGGCTCGGCAGCGTCGCAAAAACACGCCTTCCGTGCCGGATAAACGTGCGTGCCGTGATGTAAACGTGAATATTTGCACAGACTTATATGTCACCATTGACTTTGCATTGAAACTCGCTGCAGCGCATGATCCGGTATGAACGCCCCATAACAGAGACTTTCTGCAGTTGAATGCGCTTGGAAGAGGGAAGGCTGCTGTAGAGAAAATGTGTTCATGTATAGCAATGTCTTAAATACAAATGTGAGATACGACCAACATGTTAATATAAGCCTATTGTTTGTAGGTAATTGTAAGTTACAGTAATGTGGATAAATTGAGTAATGGTTTCTGCAGTGTTTCCCACAGGTTTGAAGGCAATGTGTGGTGGTCGGCGGGGGGGGGGGGGGGGGGGAGTGGGGTACAGTGGTACAGTGGTAGAGGACAATCTTGAGGTCATGAATCCAGTGAAATTAGTCGCACACCTTTTTACAGTAATAAGTTACAGCAGATCAAAAGTGACATGTTTTGACAATTTTTAGGCTATTTTGGACCAAAATGGCTGCTTTAAATCAATATTTCTACAGTAAAAGTTTCTGGTCTTTGGTACAGTGGTAGAGGGCAATCATGAGGTCGTGAATCCAGTGAAATTAGTCGCACACCTTTTTACAGTAAAAAGTTACAGTAGATCAAATGTGACATGTTTTGACCATTTTTAGGCTATTTTGGACCAAAATGGCTACTTTAAATCAATATTTCTCAATATTTCTACAGTAAAAGTGTCTGGTCTTTGGTACAGTGGTAGAGGACAATCTTGAGGTCATGAATCCAGTGAAATTAGTCGCACACCTTTTTACAGTAAAAAGTTACAGTAGATCAAAAGTGACATGTTTTGACTATTTTGGAGGTATTTTGGACCAAAATGGCTACTTTACCTCAATATTTCTCAATATTTCTACAGTAAAAGTTTCTGGTCTTTGGTACAGTGGCAGAGGGCAATAATAAGGGTATGAGTCAAGTGAAATTAGTCGCACACCTTATTCCAGTAAATAGTTACAATACTTGAAAATTGCACTAGCGGACCAAATTGTGTACTTTATACATGTAAACAATAGAGTGGCTATCCTCCTGAGAACTCACAATCTGCAGGAGGAATCGTAGGGGGCTGGTGCTATGTGTGCCGGGTGGCATCTCTATAAGGTTTTAATCACAAAAAACGTGTCTCCCAGACCCCAGGGCGCTTTCTGTTCGATAAAAATGGGTGACTCCGAAAGGACGTTCCGCTGTTACCGTAAGTTCTCAACAAAACGCGCACCGTCTTTTCCCCGATGCTGGGCCGCATGTTCATAGAGCTGAAAGATGCGGGCCACTTTACCGCGGTAAATTAATAGACACAGCTGCTTACAGCGATGATCGCTGATGGAGACGGAGACACGCGGTGTGCACGAAGGGGAGGGGCTGTGTGTGTGTAGGTCTCTGTATGTGGGAGAGACGCGTAGCTTGAGTGAGAGTCGAAGGGCCGCCACATTTTAAACCCCCCTCCCCGCTGTCAAATTGACCGCTGCGGCGGCACTAGACGATGCATGTTTTAAATAGCGTAACAAAAAAAATATATATATAATAATACGAAACGCAATTTGTGGCGGGCGGTCTCTAATCTGTGGCGGTGCGCCACAGATTAGTCTATGTGTGGGAAACACTGGTTTCTGTAATCAGTTTACAAATGTTGTTCTTGTTCCAGGCATTCAAACAGACCAGGCCAATGTTAGAGAGGCATTGCTGCACTTTCAGTACTTCTAGGTGTGCTTTGAGATATTCTTAGGTGTGCTTCTGGAAACCTAATTGTTAAAAAAATTTAAGTGTTGTTATTATAATATATTATAAATACTTTTTTTCTTTGTGGCTGAATGATTTTTATATTCAATCCACTTTGATGAGAATGACTTTGCATTGTTATTTCATTTTGTATCAGTTTCTCCAATGAAAAACGGCTGAAAAACACACAAAGTCAACAGTGACCAGTTCAAACAATGTTTTGCTTCAGCTGTTGGTTAAGTGTAACACTGCTAATGAATACCTTATATCCAAGTGTGGCCTATATGTGGACAAAATTCACTTCAAGTTTAGCTGGTGTGATTTGTACACAGTTGCACTTAACAAGTACCTAGTTTGTGTCTCGTATATTCCCGCGGTCCTTATTACTGTGCATAGATACATAAGGTCCTTATACCTCTGCATCATCGTTATATATGTTTAATTGTGCAAAAGCAGAGGCATCCTTGTCCTATCACCTTTCATGTTGTAATGAGACATGAAGGCACTTAATCCAGTTTGCAGATCTACTCCAAAACGTTCCCCTCTGCTGTCCG